GCTTAATCACCATATTATTATTATTATTATAGACAATGATGAACTACACTTGTTTTTGTTTCTGGTTTTATTAAAGTTTTTTTTTTTTTTTTTTTGGTTAAAAAAATTAATATTATAATTTCATTGAATGTTAATGATGATGATAATGATGATAATGCTACTAAACAATCGTGGACTAGAGACTTTTTAAAAAAGCAAGACAGGTGTTGGGTATTTTAGGGGAAGTATGCGAAGGGGTTTAATTAATGAAGGCTTTTAAAGAAAACAACTCAATTAACCTGTCTAGTTGATTCACTAGACGGGTGATGCCCGAGTGAACCTGTCGGTGTGAGTAGTTTTTATCTAAGCCCAAAGAACGATCGGTTCTCCCCGTGGCTCACTTCTGATAGACGACCTGCTGCGTGTGTGTGCAGTTTTGGCGAAGCTGTGTCTGTAGAAGAGAGTGCCTGTCGAGACCACAAAGAGTTTTCCTGTCTGGAGGTTTTGGGTACTCCACTGTTGCTGGGACCTGGGTAGTGTGAGCAGTGTGCGTGTGTGTGTGTGGGCAGTGTGTGTGTAGCAGAGTTCATTGTACATTTAGCACATCAGCTCGGATGGCGCAAAGAGAGACGCGCATGTGCTGGTATTGGTAACAGCCTGGCTGACCTTGTTGATCTTAGGGGGCAGGTCTGGGAGCTGAGAGGTGGGTGCCTGATGTGCGTGGCCTGTAGGTGGGGTGGGTTTCAGCACATGTAAGGAAGTCTGTTTGCTTGTCTGATGAGCTGTTGTGTATCTGTGTGCCTGGGAGAATGGGAAATAATTGAGGTGTACTGTGAACCTAGCACCCAAAAAATTCAAGGGGACCTGACGTACAATTGTGTCGATGGGGGGGGGGGGGAATAAAAACTTGCGATTTCACTGAGTTTTAAGTTTCTGTTAAAACGGAGCATGTATAACATGAGTGTTTTAGATCGATAACGCAGTCGTGAATTTGTGCATCGGGGTGCCGTGTCTATTTGTGGTGGCAAACAGCTGCTATATACTGTCTCCCTTTTCGGCTTCCTGGACGAAGAGCAGTCCAAGTTTTTAAAGAGATTCCAGTATGTTTGCTTTCCCCGTCTGAGTTGATGGGTTGCAGTGTTCACTATATCTCGACTTGCTCAGTGTACGACTCGGGCATACGCCATTTTGTAAAGTGAGGTATAACCGAGTCTTGCACCGGGCAGTGGATCTGTATCTGTGTGTCAGCGGAGGTTTGTGTGGTGAGCTTGTGTTTGTGAGTGCTGTGCTCTGCCCAGTGACAGGTCGGCAGGAACTCTTTTGGTCGGTGACGAGAACTATAATACTAAGACCTTCGGGAACAGTCGTTGTTGACTCACGGGGTATGTGGTGGGCAGCTGGCTGGTTTTTTTAATGAGATTTTTAGTTTGTTCCAACTGAAGCAGCCAGTTAGTCGCCTCCTGGTTTTGTTAAGGAGGTGGGGGATTTTTTGTTTTGTTTGTTGTTTATTTTGGGAGGGGATTTTTTTTTTTTTTTCCTTTTGTTTGGGTAAGGGTGGGATTGTGTGTGCTGTATTTTAAATCGTTAGATGTGTATGTTTGCCGGCATGAGTAATGGTACATCTGTAGTTTTTAGCAGTGGACATCACTGAACTAGTCTTTGTGACTGTGTCCAAGTTGTTGTGTGTCTGTCTGTCTGTCTGTCCGGGCGAGTGTGGAGAGCACAAATATACTTGTGTCTCGGCAGTTTTATTGTTGGGACACAAGATGATTGTGTGTGTGCGTGCGTGCGCCTGCTCGTGTGTAGTGGCCCAAGTGGGCGTATGCATATATACATATTGGCGTTATTGTACCTTTGTGTGTGTGCGCTTCGGCCCACGTGGGCCATTGCACACGTGTATTGACCCACGTGTGTGTGTGTGTGTAGGTGCGTGAGTGCTGCCTGAATGTGTTTGTGTGTATAAATTGGAGCCTCCTCTGGTGTATGCCATAATGTTTTTTATTGTTCTGTGTGGGAGGTTTTGTGGAGGTGAACTGGTGAACCTCTGACGGCACCCTCCCTTCCACACTTGAGTTTGTGTAGACAAAGTGGTTGAATTTACAAAATGGCTAGCTAGGGCTGTATGGTCTGTAGACAAGTGTAAATTTGAAGATTTGACAAAGGACTATTATTATTATTAATTACTTTTAGAGCGTGATTCAAATGCATTCTTGCACAATAATTTTTTAATTGTAATTGTATGTTTATCAGGCGTATCAATTGTTGGTTTGGTTTCTTTCCCCCCCACCACCCATCTTTCCCTGTTTCATTTCTTTTATTGTCTTGCTGTTTTCTTCACTTTAGACGAGCATCTCCATATCAATTGAGTGTCTCATGTAACTAAAGAATGCATTCATTCAGATTCGATGACGCTGGGTGGGGGTTTTCACCCATGCATTTTGGAGGGGGGGAGAGTTTACGTGTGTTGCTTTTTTCAAGTCTCTGCCGTCGAGGTGAGAGTAGATTTTGTGTCGGAAAACGTCTTCAGGGAATTGGTTGGTTGGTCTTTGTGTGATGTGGGAGACGTGGGGATACTTGTTTTACTGGTCCACGCAGCTTTGAGTCGGGGTGTAGGAGAAACGCTTATGTCGACTGCGCTCAGTGTATGTGGAAGACTCCATCATATGCCGCTTCTCACAATCCGAATCGTGTGTGGCAGAGTCTTACAAACTAAGCAGTCCATGTCTTATTTTCAGTTTGTTTTTAATTCTTTGATTTGTTAGGGTACAAATAAGCATGATGTGCTGCATCACCTCTTCCTCAATCGGCTGTTCTTTCCTGACCCACCCTCCCCACAACGCAGCAGACTTTGCATTTCGTCACAAAGTTGGAAGTTTTTTTTGTATGAGGGCAGAAGGATGCGCCTCATCTCTTTGCTTAGTCTGCACTTTGTGTAAGGTCGGAAGGCGAGGTATTCCCTGCATAGCTCTCTATCTCTATCATGTGACCTCTTGTATCTAGCGTTGTCGCGTATATGGGGGGGGGGTCTTTCTTCCTTCTCGCTCAGTCTCTGTCTTGATGCCTCTGTTGTTTAGCTGCGGTCCTTATGTCACCGTTTACATAAGTCTGAAGTCATTCCCAGAGCTGTCTAGCTGTGGAAGGATTAGGAAAGTAGGAAAGCTTTGCTCCGTGGTGGCCTGCTCATGTAGAAGTTCAGCAGCAGTTGTCGGCTTTGTACGTCAGACCTCAGACGTCAAACTCAGGGCCCAGGGCCACATTCGCGCTCGGCGAATGATTTTATCCGGCCCTGGAGAGAATTTTAGCCAGGCAGTCCATCTTGAAATGTTTTTTTAATAAACAAAGGACCTCACTTCAGACAGAATTTATGAAACTTGTTGCCAAGAAAACATGCCAAACATTCAGCTCTGACAAATCAGCATAGGAGAGAAAGTTGGTATGCTTTGATTAGTTATTATTTCAGCTCTCGTCTCTTGTGATTCATATTCTTATTGTTGGAAAAGGGTTGGTATGGCTTGATTAGTTATTATTTCAGCTCTCGTCTCTTGTGATTCATATTATTCTTATTGTTTGAAAGGGTTTCGTTATTATCTGCTCATTCAGTCTTTGTCCAGTTTGGCCGGCAACCTTGGAGTTATAGAGTAGATGTGTTTTGAGAGCGAGTCCCCACCACTGAGGTATCGGCTCCAGGGGGGCTCCTCTCCTTCTCTTGTGTACTATGATGAGTCTATCTGTCTGCATCTTTCTCTCTCTCTCTCTCCTTCCTTCTCTCTCTCTCTCTCTCTCTCTCTCTCTCTCTCTCTCTCTTTCTCTCTCCTCTCTGTGTACTGAATTGACGTAGGTTGCTTTTTTGTTTGTTTTTTTCATCACTATTTCGTTGGATGGTTTTTGGTTTTTATTCTTTTGTTGTGTAGGTGGGTTTGGGGTTTTTTTAATTGAGGGGGAGGGGGAGGGGGGGGGTAAAAATATCCAGGGTGAATATTTTCTGTTTGTGTTTTGGGTGGACGGTTGTTGTCCAGGTTTGTGCAGTTCCCGTGAACGTTGATGAATCCACCCCCCTTTTGATTGTGATATTGAGAGTGGAGCTATAGCGATGACGTCGCCATACTTTTGACCTGTGTTTGTGTGAGTGAGTGAATGGTCATGGGCTCGTTCTGTCTAGGGGGAAAGAAAGGTCAGAGGGCAAGCAAAGGACTGGCAGCATAATGTTTTCAGTGTGTCGTGACCTCCCGTCCTACTTACTTTGTGGTGGATCTCTTCTCTCTGGCGACTGCCCACAGCGGGAGTGTGTGATTCTTTCAGTACCGGTACATCTTGGTAGTCTCGGGCAGTCTGTCGTTCTACGTTTTGGATTGAGAGAGATAAAAATAGAATGTGTTTGTCCCCCCCACACCCCCACACTCCTTCCCAGTTTATACAAACTATAGTTTTGTGCCGGTAAGGAAAAGGACAGGGGCATTAATACGACAGGGTTGTGGGGGTATTCTGGATTTTGCTTCTTTTAATTTTATTAAAAAATTTTGGTGAATTTTTTTTGTCTTCATGTTGCTTTTGTGATACCGATCTTTTGGGGCAGATGATAACGATAGTAATAGTACTGGTAAAGCTTTAAGTTGCTTTAACAGTTTCACATCATTGAGTCATTTGTCTTGGATTTGATGCGGTCATCAAGGGGGAAGTGAGACTTTCAACCCGTCCTCTGCTATAAGCTAGCTATAGGGGTGTGAATGTGTCGGATCATCGCACACACATGGGTCTGTTTTGCTGGCCGCTGAACCAGCGCAGAACAAAATGCTGTGAAATATTTTTGCGGAGAATTTTTTTTTTTTCTTTCTATAGCGAGCTTGAGAGTGGGCAGTATACGTGTAGTAGTATTGCTGAGTCATCGTATGATCTCGTTTTGCGTGAGGTTTTTGAATAGTATGTGCTAGCTGTCGTAGTGTAGCGTAACTGACGTGGGAAGATTGGCCTCTTTCGTTCAGTTGTTCCCTCATTTTGTGTACAGTTGTTGTTGCCCTTGTCTTTGTCTCATGAAGGTCATGCACAATTAGTCAGTTGGTTTTTTTGTT